CTGAAGTATTTTTTAAGCATCAAATTGGCAACCTCTTCAAAGGGATTGTTTCTACATCAACGAAAATATGTATTTGATCTTCTTTAGGAAACAAAAATGCTTGATTCTAAACCTACCATCACTCCCGTGGACTCTAAACTAAAGCTCAACACAGATGGAGAAGTCATGCACGATGTGAGCTACTATCAATGATTGGTGGGCAAACTTATATATCTCACCATCACACATCCTGATATCACATATGCAGTGAGCTTGGCAAGCGAATTTATGCATTCTCCTATGGTTGATCATCTTAACATGTTAAGAGAGTCCTGTGTTATCTCAAGGGTTCAATAGGACAAGGAATCATCATGCGTAAAACCAAGTTCACTGCCATTAGTGGCTACACTGATGCAAATAAGGCAGGGAATGCAATTTATTGGAAATCTACCACTAGCTATTGCACGTTTGTTGGTAGAAATCTTGTCATTTGAAAGAGCAAGAAGCAACATGTTATTGCTCGCTTCAGCACAAAAGTTGAATATCGAGCCATGGTAGCCACTGCATGTGAACTTATATGGCTTAAAGGGCTTCTTTCAAACTTAGGGTTTACTAGTACTACCCCCTATGTCTCTTATGTGTGATAATCAAGCAGCCATGCACATTGTTGCTAACCCTGTGTTCCATGAAAGAATGAAACACATTAAAGTGGACTGTCATTTTGTTAGAGCACAAGTGCAAACTCAAGTTATTTAGACCATCTTCATGCGAAGCCATGATCAACTAGCAGATCTCTTTACCAAGGCTTTGGCATCTGCTTCATTCCATCGTTTTCTAGGTAAGATTGGCTCGATTAACCTCCTCAATCCAGCTTAAGGACGAGTGTTGTGATGTTGCATCTATTGATGTTGCATATGATTAATGCTGCATTTACTGATGCTGCATATGTAGTCTACTATCAAGGTGAACCCTAAGGTAAATCTCAAGGGTACGGCTCATTATAATCTTTAGGGTAGGGGTATGCAAATCACATTTTCCCTTTATTTAAGGGAGAAGACTAGCTGGGGTAATGTCTTTGTGTAAGGTTTAGATTAGGTAGGCAACATGCCTTCTTCTTTCTTATCAGCTGCTTGTTGCAGCCATCATTCCCATCTTTTTTTCCCTTTCTCTTCTCATATATACCCAAACTCACTCTTGTACAAACATACATGAAATATACATTGAAACTTTAAAACCAGAAAATCTACAAAGTTAGATTCATGAGACCATTCTCTTTCGTATACATATCCTAAACGTTCCTGATCATAGGATTGCCAATTCAGCATTGACAGTCCGTTAAGATCAGTATGTGCTATGTCTTCTTTTAAAGAGAGTGACTGGTCTCGAGTCATTGGTGTGACTGACACCAAGACAAGCATGTAAGTGCTTAACAGAGAATGAGTCCACTAAACACGATCAATAAGAAGTTCTCATACTCATGTCATATGAGAACTCATGGTTGTGATAATGCAAAGTAGTCCTTTGACCTGAGGCATCATAGTTATCTTCTGGTTAGGTCCTTGATCTTTGACTATGTCAAAGTCGCTCCGTCAACGGGTGTACACGACATAGTTGGGGTTAAGCCATTTAGCCATGGAGGCAAGTGAATGCACAACAAGGGGTCTCTAACCTTCAAACCATTTGAGGGAGAATACTCTATGATATGATTAAGAATCTCTGATCAGAGTATGAATGAGATTTAGGAAGTCGTTTCAAATCACATTTAAGGTAATCGTATAAGTAAAAGAATCACATTGGATAGTAGACATGAATAAACTATCAAACCAAACAATGTGGTCAAGAGTATTGTATTAGAGAAAGACCGTATTGCATTGTAATCTTAAACTGAATAGGTTCTCCACATCTTCTGATTAGCTTGGGTAGCCATGACATACTACTAGATGTCACTCATGGTTTGTGGAAGCCCTAAAGGTGTATAATCACTAAAGGGAGAATTGAAAGTATGTTTCAATTCACAATCGATTTGAAGAGTTCTAATTGCCCACTGCCTCGCTAAAAGGAACGTAATAGATCGTACACCGAGTAAGGTAGAGATTGAAGAAACAACAGAGATGAGTAAGGATAATCAAATGGTTTAATTATTTATGCCTTGGATTAATTAATATGTTAATTAATCAAACGAATATGTTCGTTATAGAACTTAGGTTGGTTTTGGGGCGCAAGGCCCAATGGGATTTGAATGTCAAGCCTATTAACTCAAGTTGTATGACAACTTGAAAACACAAGAGGCTTGAAAAGCCCAATGAACCCTTAAGGCCGGCCACATTAGGGGATGAAGGGTTTTGGTTCTTTTGTCACTTAATTGAAGGGACTATATAAAGAACTTTATAACATTTCATCATTAGGGTTTTTTGAGGAAATTGGAGAGAACTCAATGCTCTCCTTTTCTCTCTAAGAGACCGGCCACCCTAGAGGAAAATAGCTAGCAATCTTTCTTCCTCTAGGTCACTCATCTCTTCCTCAATAATCTCCTTGGTGTGGAGACTTAGAGCTTCCCTATTTTGGGAACTTGGAGAATCCATTCCTTCATCCTCCTCCAAGAAATCCATGGAGCTAAGAAGTAAGGAATGAAGGCCCTATCTCTTGGGTGATTAGCCTTTACTTATGCAAAGAGGAATCAACAAAGGTATAAGATTTCTCAACTCACTTTGTTTTGAGTTGAGTTTTGGTTCACCATAACTACTAGGCTTTGAATTTCATGGGTTAAGTTTTGTTTTTGAGTGCATACAAGCATGATTCCGCCTTTTAATGGTTAATAGCATGCATAGATGTTGCTCAAATGAACTAGTTTTCACAAATATATCCTTCATAACTATGGTCATTTTCGTCAACTTCGTTAGAATTTTGTCAAAATGAGTTATGTTGGAAGGACCATTGCTACAATTGGGTTAAAGTTGAGGGACCATTGATCCAATTAGGTTAGAGTTGAAGGACCATTTCTCCAGTTGGATTAAAATTGAGGGACCAATGGTAATGGACTTTTCGTTGAGGGACTATAGATGCACGTTTTGATGAGTTGAGGGACCATTGCTCTAATTGAGTTAAAGTTAAGGGACCATTGCTACAATTTGCTCCTTGATAGTATTAGTGTTGACAAATGAAATGACGTCGTTTTAAGTGGATTCTAGATTCGGTTTTTTTTTTTTTTTTTTTTTTTTGTGAACTTCTGAAACCAAAACCGAATTAACTCATTTTGGTTTGGTTCGGTTTGTTTAGTTTAGTTTGACTTTTTTCTGATTTGATGTTCGGTTTGGTTTTTTTTCGTTTTTTGCGGTTTTTCGAACCCACCCCTACTTATAAGCACATGTAAGGTCATTCCTTCTATTAATGTGGGATTCATTCTCAACATGCCCACTCATATGTGACAAATTTTTCAATCCTAGTATGTGGACAACACAAACAAAATGACAGGGAGCATGTGGCCGCTGGGTTTCACACGTAAGACAACTTTCCTTGATACCATGGAAAAGTTGAGGTTTCACCATAAAATCAAATGATAATATGAGAAATAGCTCAACTACTTATAAGTATAAGTAATGTCTCTCATTTCTCCGTCCGATGTGAGATTAATACTCTCTATTGAAGATTGGCTAAAACAAGCTCTAATGTAGTGATAGTGTGTATCCACATTCTTTGTGCGAACTTGAAATAGTGGAGTTGAAGCAAGGGATGTGGCTGAAACATTATCTTGTAAGGCTTTACATGTGTATTGAGTCTCACATCGATAAATTACTGAGTTAATATACACTTATATTGAGTCTCCCATCGATAAATTACTGAGTTAATATATGCTTTATATATACAGTGAGCCTCATTAGTGCCTAGTCGTTTTGGATTGTAATGTTGACGTGGCATATAATTTGCCTTGGATCATTGCATTTTCTTTGGTATAAGAGGGAAGGCCCAAGTAACAAAAGCTTTATCAGCATTTTCACGGCCATAATTAACCATTAATCAACCTCAGCCTACTTCCGAGAGTGAGGGAGAATCTTAAAATGTGTTAGCCCAAATCCAAGGTTTTAGTTAATATATGTAGTTGAGATCCTTTTTTTTTTTAACAAACAACATTATTTACATTAAGAGATGGGTGAGTGGGCTAATCCTCATAATAGGTTAGCCATAATAATACGGTTCAAATTTTCTTTTGGCGAGAATCAAACATAAGACCTCTCACTTACAAATGAAGAGGAATATCACTAAACCATAGTACTTAGTTGTAATTAAGACCCAATTAGGTAAATAGTAAAAATACACAAAAAAAATTTCTATTGTTGTTGGCTGTGTATGATTTATTTAATTAAAATGGTCAAAAAGAGGGGTAGGCATTTGAGAGGCAAAAAAATGATATGTGAAAACCAGATCTCTTCGATTATAAACATAATATAATCATTTAAATTTGTTATTTATAATTTTTCACACGAAAAGGAAAAGAAAAAAAATGCACGGAGTTCAAATTTAGTCATTCTAAATTAGAAAATGTTACATAATATTTCGAAAAGATTACTTGGTTCCATTTTACTTTTCGTCCAAATGGATTAACACGTGTATCAAGTTTCGTGGAATCACGCAAAAGAAGGATCAATGGTGCACTTTCACCTATGATGAAGACTTTTGAAACCATGAGTCAACGTCAAGGATTGGAAGCATATGGACCAAACCTAAGGAGTTGGATTCCATCTTTTTGGCATGGAAATATACAACAAATGCTTTAGACTTTGTCAAAAGGAAAAGCCACCCAAAACTGGAGAATAAAGGCTCCATTTTTCTGCAATCCCCTATTTCGGAAATGTGATAAATTTAACAAAGGTATTCGAAAATTTACGATAATAAATTGCATAAAATTAAACGTAAAATGAATGAGTAAAATTTGTTAAATATCTTGATGCACTTAAATTCGCAAGCTATTGTAATCACACCCGAATCTTAGAGAGAGTTAAAAGTACGAAAAGTTCAAAGATCCCTAAGAAAAAGAATGACAAACTGTTTTATTCAACTATGATCAGATAGATGTACATCCAACGACTCATCTACAAATGGGTGCACGTGTCGACTGTAAAACAATGAATCACCGTAATTAATCACATCACGACCGTCCAAATCCACCAAGAAACTGCCAAACCCAATAATCACCATATGGATTGAAAACACACAAAGTTAAACAAATCTAAAAAAAAAACAAAAAAACACTAACAAAATTAAACAATAGAAGAAAAAGAAAATAATAGATCTCGACCGTCCATCAAAACCCAGATCTGAGAGCCGATGAGGAGTCTCCATGTGGACGAATAGCAAAACCCGAAAGGGTAAACCCCATGAATCTAAGCCAACACAACGGCGAAGAAGACTCCAGCAAGAGCAGTTCCAGCAATAACAACGCGGCTGATGGCGGAGGTACCACTTGGAGGAATAGCCTCAGCCGGTGGGGAGTTCGGGCTTGGGCCAGAGGGAGCAGGTGGGGACGATGGAGACTCAGCAGATGGTGTGGAAGCTGGTGTGGAAGCTGGTGGGGAGGCGCTTGGTGTTGGTGCTGTCACTGGTGATGGAGTTGGTGACACGGTTGGTGTTTTGCTGGGTGATGGAGTTGGTGACACGGTTGGTGTTTTGCTGGGTGATGGAACTGGTACGGCTGATGGCGGTGTAGCGGTTGGTGGGGTGGCGGTTGGTGGGGTGGCGGTTGGCGGCGTGGCGGTTGGGGGTGAGGCTGTGGGTGCAGCTCCTGGGGCCTGGGCTATGCATGATGTGGCCAAAAGACTCAAAACCATCAACACTTGGAACCCTGCAAAACCCATCTTCAGTTTTAGAGAGAGAAAGAGAGAGAATTTGATGAGTGAGAGGGAGAGAGAGGGAGTTTCAGAGATGTGGGAGTGAGGGGGTTTCAAAAGGAGAGGGGAATATAAAAAGGTTGGAGAGAAAGTGGGGGGGTGCTGAGGGACAGCGTTACAAATTCAATAATGCGGGATTGAGATTCCTACAATGGTTAAATTATATAATAATTTTGCTAAGCCAGCGAGGGTGGTCCTGTGAATAATTGGTCAGCCTTGGACACCCTTTCTAACAGTTTGAACTTTCTTCAAGGATCACCTACGGGTAGAACCACCAAACGCGGTTTCGTTTTGTTTCGGTTCGCTTCGCTTCGATTAGGGTTGTATTAGTAATCTAGTGTAAATTGTTGAAGAATGTAACTTTATATCGAAAACTTAACAGAATAAATACTACTTGTATTGAATGATTTCACTTTTAATTGAATCTGTGATATTTTGTGATAAAACCAAAAACCTATCAAAATTGTGACATAATGAAATTGTGATAATATTATGAACTGCTGGCGAGACTAAAAACTCATTGATAAAAGCATGGTTTGTGCGCTTTTAAGACTGTATGATGTAGGGAGGAAATTGTGTTTGAACATGTCACATGTATTTGGTTGCTGATGAGGGTTAGTAATACGTCTCTTTCTACCACATTTTCTGGTGTATTAGCATTTTGGCAATATAATAGTGAGGATCTTAGCTTTTAATAGTCTGGATTTGGTCGTTTTGCCCTTTTCAACAACTACAAGCGTGGTCGGTGGTTTTACTAAAATGACCCTTTCACTATCAATTGTTGTCCATATGCATCCTTAATCCTAGTTTGGTACTGAGGTGATTCTAAAAAAAATGGTTATCAAAAAAAGCTGAGAGCTTTTTTATGTTTGGTAAACATTCTGCTTCAAATTTTTTTCATAGTTTTGGGTGAAAAAAAAAAAACCAAAAACACAAAGCTGCAAAACCTAGCCTTGAAAAACTAGTTTTTTTTTATATCTGTTTTACATAAAAATTTATCAAACACTATAATACTGCTCTTTTTTTTTTTTTTTCAAAAGCACTTTTACAAAAAAGTTTACCAAACACTCTGCTGCTTTATTTCACAGTTGTTTAATCTCACAGCACAACAGAAGCAGTTTTTTTCCAAAGCACAGCAATACCAAACTAGCTTTTAATCAACAATCGCACCATCTTGTTTTTAGAAAGGCTAAATAACTTTCTCATTCTTTTGATTTGCTCAGATTTTCAGTTTGGTACTTGTCATTTTGGTCATTTTCACATAATTTTAAAGTTAATTTATTCAAAAAATAGATAAACATATTTTACAAGATAAAACACACGACTCAAATACATCAAACTCAAACCACAAAAATCAAAATGAGTATTGAACTCCTTAGATTGCCATTAAATGCACCAAATTTACTAATCGCATGGTATACGTTATCTCTAAGAAGTATGAGATCTACTATAAAAAATAGTGTGCCATACTTCTATTAGAGTTGTGGTTTACAATATAGTTTGTACAATCAATCTTTTTCTTACAGTTAGCTTTTTCCACATTGTATTTTGTTACGAAAGTTATCCATGAATAATGTTACCATGTTTAACGTGAATAAGATAGATAAATAGCATGTGTAGGCCATTTGGAGCTGTGATCAATGATTTAATCGAAATTGGGATCCAGCACATTGTACATTTGGATGAGCGGCCTTTTGTTCTATACAATAAACTTCCATTTGTTTACTTAATTTTATGGCACATAGGTCACAGGGGTAATGCTTGGGGAGAGAGAAAATGTTTTATAACATAATTAATCTTATTTTATCAGATTAAATTATAATTTTAATCATGTTACCGTTGCTGAGTTGCAAATGGAAAACAACTAACATGCTCACTTCAACCAACGGAATTAAAAAAATTTCATTGGCCTCTAAAAATAATTGTCTTCTTTGTCGTCTTTTGACTTCGTGCATGGAAGATTGGAAAGAAATACGTTCAATCTCTGGTGCAGTTCAAGAGAACAACTCTCCTCCTATTTCATCTTCATTATTTTTTTTTTCCTTGTGAAAACCCATTCTTCTACTAATTAATTATGATTTAACATAATCATTCTGATGAGTATGGTAGTAACAATTTAGTTTGATGTGTAGTACGAATACGTTTTCAGATATACACCACTTGACATGTTGATGCAATATTATACTAAATTTTTTTCAAATTTGAAGAAAATTGAAATTCCACCTTAAAGCTAATTGGCAATATGGCTTATAAGCTATTGCAAGGTTTCTACTTTCACCAATATGAGACTCTTTTACCTTCACACTCTCACACACTCCCTTACTTATGGCGAAATTTTAAGCCAAACACGTGGAAAACACGAATTGGGTGACGTTGAGTACGTATGGTCATTGAGCTTTACACGTGAGTCAACCTAACTCTGATATCATGAAGAAAGTTGAAATTTCATCATAAAATTAATTGGCAATATGGGGAGTACTCAACTTCATATAAGTTCTTGCAAGTTTCTACTTTCACAATGTATGACTTTTTTACCTTCACATCCTAACAAAATTTATCTCATTATCTAGGCATTGGTTTTCCCATCTTAGATTTGGGGTTTGGATATTAATATGTTGCTACACATATTTTTAATTTAGATCAATTTGATGCATGCTATTATAGTGTTACGTGGTGTATCAAATATACGTAAAACTTTTTTATGCCAATTGTATCATGACATGTAATTAGGGGCAATTAGCAAAATCATACCCAATGGAACAAAGTAGCTTACTAAATTTTTGGTATTGTATCCCATCATTGTCATCAGTTGAGTGGAATTTATTTGGCCTTATTTTATTTAGTGACTTATAAACATATGCTTAGTTGCTTGATGAATAGGCGCTGGCAGAAGCTGGCAAGAAGAGATGCAAACATGTTCTCCACCACAAGTCTTCTACATGATTATTGGTGAGAAGATGGTGTTAATTTTATGTTGTTCACAAACATGGAGACATTGGAGTCCCAATAAATTGGCTTTGTGAATTAATCGAAGACATATATATAGATTGGATTGTACAGTGGGAATTTAATTTTAGGAGAAGATGTAATCACTTTTTTTGTTTTTTAATTCTATTGATTTAAACTTTATTGCTTTTTCAAATTTTTTATCAAGTTACCTTGGTTTGGTTTTTGTCTATGTTATTATTTTAATAAATTATAATATTTACATATCAACATATTTAAGTTTTATAACTAAAAATTATCTGACTATTTTCAAATAAATCCATTTAGTGTTACAAAATTTTTAGGGAATTGTTATTAGCACTCCAAAATCTCATTCTACACTCCAAATTTTCTATATTAGGAAAGAAAAATACACTTGTGAGGAGTGTAGAATGAGACTTTTGGAGTGTCAATAACACTTTCCAATTTTTATAGCTAAATTTTTATCATATATTTCTATGTTCAACTTTTTTTGTTCTTGTTTATGCACTTTTTTTTTTTTTTTTTGCCCATATTTTTTGAACTTTTATTTGTACCCATAATTTTTTAATCTTGAATTTCAACTTATAAATTATTTATCTAGCAATAAGCATCTATGTACACTGTAACTCTCATTTTACATAGTGAAACCGAATCGACACCAATGTAAATGTAGCTCCAACTTGAAGTGAACCACGATATATTGTTGTGTTCTTGTCTATATGTATGGTTAACGATCGGATTTAGTTGGTCTAAGATCGACCCGATTTTGTGCTTCAACATATATAAAATGTACTCCCCATTTTCTTGATAAAATCTATTCACTTTTTTTATTTATATACCTATATTTATAATAATGTATCTTTTTCTAATTTTTTTTTTGTTTCAAAGGATAGATTTTGTTAGATTAGTCACCGACGGAGATTAAACCCACGCTATCATACAAGGGCTCAACACTTTTCCACCGCTGCGATAAAAGGCCACTTGCGTATCTTTTTCTAATTTAAACTACTCCAATATCTAAAAAAATAAAAATAAATTATTTTGAAAAGAATGAAAATTTTGACTAGTTTTCACACAATTCAAATTTGAGAAAAGAATAAAAAATTCCGTATTAATCTTTGCATGATTTTAGGAAGGATTTAATACTTTTTGTTATTAATTTTCTTAATTAATACTGAAATTAACATTTTTTCCTTGGTCAAAGTATTTAAATTAATAAAATTTTAGGTAAAGTACAAAATACTACCTCAACTATTGGTGTCACGACACTTTCATACCTTATCTTTTAAAATTGACAATGTCATACCTCATCTTTAGAATTTGTGTCAATGTTATACCTTCCGTTAGCTTGGCCATTTATTTCTCAGTTAAATGCTGACGTGACTTGATCCAAGACCCATTTTTTATTAAAAATTTAATAAAATATTATTAAAAACAAATAAAATCGTTTAATATTATTAAAATATTAAAATAATAAAAAAAAAGTACATAAAAAAATAAAAAATAAACCTCCCTTTCGTCCCTCCCTCCTCTCTCTCTTCCCCCATCTTCATGCAACCCCAGAAAGAAGGAGGAAGAAGAAGAAGAAGAAGAAGAGAAAAAAAATAAAAAATAAAAAATAAAACCCCAAACCAAACCCAGTTCGTCCCCCCACCACAAACCCAACCTCTTGCAACCCAGAAAGAAAAAGGAGGAAGAAAAAGAGGAAAAAAAAAAAACAACCCCAACCCAACCCGAAGGAAGAAGAAGAAGAAAAAAGAAGAAGAGGAGGAAGAAGAAGAAGAAGGAAAAAACAAAAAAAAAAAATGGGAAACTCGTCCTCCCTCTCCCCACCCCCCCCCCCCCCCCCCCCCCCAAATACCCACCCTGTAAAAGAAAAACAAGAAGAAGAAGAGAGAAGGAAAAGAAGAAGAAGAAAAAAAAAAAAAAAAACCCCAGTTCGTCCGTCCCCCCCCCCCCCCGCACCCACCCTCTTCCCTCCACACCCATTCACCCCCCCCCCCCCCAATTT